AAAAAATTTCACCGTTAAACTATTGATGTGTTTTTGAACTTGTAACGTAAGTCATCCTATTTGAGATAGATTTCATAATCACTGACGGGTTGGAACCGTAAATAATGCCGAAATCATGTCTGGCAGTGGCAGTCTTTGGCAGTGATTGATTTGTCACTACTGGATTACACGTTCCTCAAGCGTCCACCAAATGTGGATTAATATTGACGTCATCACTGTCCAAGGACGCGGTAATAAGGCTGTGTTTAGTTTAGGAAATGAAAATTTTGACGTCATATTGGATATTTCGGGAATGTTGAAAGAGGTTTTCGGATACTAATAAAAAAATTAATTACATAGCTCGCCTAAAAACTGCGAGACAAATTTATTAAGCCTAATTAATCCATCATTAGCGCGTGTTAGTTACTGTAGCATTTATGGTTAATCATGGACTAATTAGTCTTAAAACATTCGTCAGCGTTTTTTTAACCAAACTGTGCAATTAATTTTTTCATCTATATTTAATACTTCATGCATGTGCCGTAAAATTTGATGTGATAATTTGGGGTGAAAATTTTTAAACTAAGCCAGGCCTAAGTATGCAGACGCGGATGCAAGCTACGCGCGCTAGTACTACGCGTTATTAATTACTCGGTCATTTCCCCACCAACTCCGCGGCAATTTCTCTTTTTGTTTCTTTTCACGTAGGAGTACCACGCGTTGGGCTGAGTCACAACGCATTATCAGAGACTGTGCCTGCTGGTCTGGACTTTCGGACTTTGGTGGCCGTCCTGCTCTTTCGCCGTATTTAGGCCCTCGTTGAGATTGCAAAATTTTTTAATCTGGATCTTGAAGAGGCGTTTTATTTGTATTTGATAAATTTTGTTCGATTATGGATTAACTAGGCTTAAAAGATCCGTCTCGTGATTTACAACCAAACTGTGTAATTAGTTATTTTTACTCTACATTTAATGCTTCCATGCATACGTCCCAAAATTGATGTGACGAGAGAGAGAAAAAAAACTTGGAATTTGGAGGCAATCTAAACAAGGCCTTACTCTGGGACACTAGTGCAATGTGTGCTTCGCTGTGCATCACACATTGCACTGTTTGAATCTGCAAGAGGTGATCAAAATGTCATGCGGATGAATCAGGTTTGCGCACCACACGTTGCACTAGTTGTTGTCTATTCTTGATTTCGATCAGGCTTGCTTCATCTTACGTGCGTTGTTCATTTGATTGATCATGGTGCCATCACAACAGAAGCAACAAATGAACAAAGCCGGAACCAGCGATTTTGATTGAGGGCGGCCAGACAAATACAATGACACCTCTAAATGTGCTAAATATTTAGTCTCAACAGCTTTTACAATGTTTCTCCACATGTACTTAGTATTAAAAAAAATCATAACAATATGATAAAAAGTGGGTGAATTAATGTCATGATATGCTATGAATTAACATATTTATAGAAGTACTAAAAATAGATTTGCATGCATTGGGGGGCTTGGCCCCTGTAGTTCCGCCACTGCAAATGAACCTCACTCATCAGCGCCCTAGCCTCCTAGTACCTGGTTTTATTGATCCCCACCACCACCAGCCATGGTGGACCGACGACTGACCTCCATTGCTGCTTGCTTGCTCTATGGCCATTAAGGGTTCTATTTTGTTGTTTTAAAGACTGCCATGTCATATTGAATGAAACGAAACTCGGATGAAACACACTCACTCAATGCAAAGTTTCATTTTAGAGTTTCATATGAATTTAATTTCATGACTTAAAGATAGTTGATAATCGTGCCAAGAGAGTGTCATCTGGATAACACTCATTTCTTCTCTCTCTTCTTAAATACACTGTCATGTCATAAAAAATATCTGCATGGCAAACCATTTAATGCAAATGAAATTTAAATGATACTCCCACTAAGACTATCTCCGACCACCGATACCTAAATCAATGACCTATACCCGAGAAATCGGTCATGCACGAAAGAATCGTCCCCAACCCAAACCCATCCTTCTCCAACAGCCCTCCTCCCTTTTCTCTCGGAAGAAAGGCGGCGGTTCTCATCTCCCTCCACTCTCTCTCTTCCTCCACTCTCTCTCTCTCTCCCTCCGTCCACCTCTCCCGGTGGAGATCGCGCCGCCGGCGGAGGAGCCGGTGGCGGCGAGGGCTCGGCAGAGAGATTGCGCTGCAGCCCCTCGGCTTTGAGATGTGCCCGCCCTTGTCGCCACGTGTGCCCGTGGCCGTAGGGAGGGCCATGGCGTGCTGGCGGCGGCGGCCATCTCCCACGCTGCTCTGTGCATCGGTGGCGCACGCTCCTGGTGGATCTAGTCTTGGGCCGCCGCGGGTGGCAGGGGGCGGTCTGGATCTCACTGACCGCTTGGGGCTCCCACGGCGGTGGCGTGGTCTCCACCACCGTGGCCTTGGCGCTGGCTCCACCTGTGTCTGTGTGAACGGCGGTGGCCCCACACCCGCTTCGGAGTTGAGCTCGGCGAGGGCGAGGAGCTTGGGGAAGGGCGAAGGCGGTGGCTACCGCGGAAGATTTGCGTCTTGGAGAAGGGACGCATAAATATGCCTGCCGGTCGACCTCGTCCCCAAAATGCATGCTCCGATTGCGTCGTGCATTGGAGCCGGTAAAAGCGTGCATGACCAATTTTAGATATGCGTCACCCTTTGCGTGAGCCGTTGGAGACAGTCTAAGACTAGCCTACTGTAGGCCTGAGACCACCATTACTACAGCATAGAGTACGTGTCCAAATCAAAAGCCATCCCCATTCACCACTCACGGGCGCACGCCCTTCGCCTCAGGCCAATAATGGAGCCGACCAACAAGGGCGCGCAGCCTGCACCCAGCAACGTGCAGTGGAGGACAGGCCACCATCGTCCTCTCGCTCGCGTCTACCAAGTCAAGTCGCCGGCCCCGACACCACACTCACCGGCGGTCCGGTGGAGCATGCAGCAGAGCACATGCTTCGCTGTGTGTGCTAGCAGCTCTGCCCGATAGTGGCTGGCCGGGAGGACGGCTGCCTCTGCATCAATGACAGTGGGGGTACAGGAAGATTCCTTCTAGTTGCAACGCAGTGCACTACTGTCCATTGGAGGTTCACATGGTTAGTCTTGGCCTTCGTGGCTATCAAAGGTTGGATTGGAGAAGGGCTCTCTAGCCATTGCATATGTTTGCTGATTATTTTTTTTTGTATATGAGAGCCGGCACTGTTGCATGAGATAATCTAGTGAATCCTTAGTGTGAGCTACGTATACATATAAAGTTAGTGTTGTGTAGTGACTCAAATTCTATTTGTAATAGGAGGTGTGCTATTAGGACTAGTTCAGTTAGAATTAGAACTTGAGCGTTGAATCTTACTGGGAGTAGGACGAATGTATGAGGCCTCCAAGGTGAATATATATATAAATAAGGAGTAAATGCCATAGGCATCAACCAACCAAAATAACGGCCTCATCCAAGGCTTGTAATGTGTAATTAGGAGCGCCGGAAAGGAATAGGCTTGAAGTTCTATTACACTAAATTCTTATATATGGCAAGAATCGGTGGGTTCTAGAGGGTCAAGTAGGGTTATGAGAGCGATAATCACTTCTACTCTTTTGGAGTTGTGCTAATAAAATTTACGGTCGGCTTCACTTAAATTCCTAATCTCTTCTCTCTCGTGGTTGCTTCATCGTCATCTAGGGTTGTTTCCAATATTTAGGAGAAACATCTCAAGTTACCGATGCACACATAGTAAACGATGAAGGTCCCAAGTCCAACGATAGATGGACAAGGTATGCACACATAGTAAACTATGAAGGTCCCAAGTCCAACAATAGATGGACAAGATGCGGGGGCGTCTCTAATTAGATGCATTGACCACCTCTGGGTGTGAAACATTGGTCTGTACAATCCTTTCTTTGCAACCCATTTCACTACTATTTTTATTTTTTGAATTGGTCATTATGGGTTTTCAGAGGCGAGCGGTGCCTCGACCTTTGTTTATCGCCACTAGAAATCGGAATTTCATAGGTGTGTTTAGGAGGGGCACGTAGAGGTTCTCCTAGAATCAGCAAGGGCACCTAGAACGTCATCAAATCTCATCGAGAGACGTGACAAACAACAAGGGTTAGAGAGAGTTAGAACAAATGGTAGTAGATGTGTTTTTTAGATTGTAAGTTAGATTCCTCGATCGGCCTAGCAGGAAATCGGACTCGGAATTGGCAGAAAAACTAGCCTGGCTGATTTTCCCTGGGCTAGGCACCGTGGCCAAGCCACATTATAGGGAAACTGACCTGACTGGTTTGGGCAGGGCTGGCCCAATTTTTTTCTTTCTTTGATTGTGCTTTTATATTTTTGATTGTCAACAAATCTATTCCTAATACTTTCTCGGGATCTACTGATCTCAAAATGAATTTTAAGAAAGTCCAATGTTGCCATGGACCTGACCGAAGAAAGACCAGAACATCTTGCTAAAACCATTGGATCCTGAAAAGGTACCCTACCCTTTACCTACGTGGGTCTGCCATTGGGGTTAACCAAGTAAGAGTGCAAGACCTTTTACCTCTAGTAAATAAATATGGGTGAAGGCTTGCTAGTGTCTCAACTTTCCTATGCCAAGCTTGCAGATTGGAGCCAACAAATGAAGTCTTCACCTTCTTGCCTACTTTCTACAGGTGTACTCTTTCACTTCCTAAGGTTGTCATTAAACAAATTGACAAGTATAGGAAGCATTGCCTTAGAGAGAATTTGAAACCAATGCTAGAAAACAACCAAAGGTAGCTTGGGAATGGTATATATGAAAGAGAAATAGGGGAGCTGGATGCCATCAATATTGGAAAACAAAACAAGGCATTAATATTAAGAAAAATCTGTATAGGTTTATTTAATAGGTGGACACCCCTTGAGTACACGTAATGTGGGAAAAGGACTACCCGAATGGTAAATTGCCATTGGGGACTTGGGGTTGTCCCGCGTTTCGTGACGACAACTGGGCGGCGAAGTGCAGCTGCTGGTGGCGCAGAAACAGGCATGGTGGACCTGGGAGGTGACAGGGACGTCGGGGATCTACCACAAGGACCTGGGCATCGACCCGTGCCGCACGTAGCGGGATCTGTCCATGGTGGACTTCAACTCTTCAAGCGCTTCCTCATGTGGCAGTACGGTACGCGCTGCCACGGGAGCACACCATCCGGACGGAGATCAGCCGGAGGAGGCGGTGGAGCCCGGGCGGTGGAGGCCACGGTTGCTTGTCTCACCCGTCGATCGTGGCGGCGGTTCGTGAACCTCCCAGAGATCGTGGCGCTAGCAGAGGAGGTTGGGATCGACGCGATGGCGTCGTACCTGATGTCTGCGACGACGGCGGTGGCCCTGGCGGCACACCTGTGGGAGGAGATCGACATCGACGTGGGCGGACTACAGGTGGCCCTGGCGGCACTCCATCTATGGTTTGTAGTTTTGTACATGCCATGAGGAAACCATTTGGCACGGGGGGGAAGTATAGAAGCTTGTAACTGAAAGGAGGGCTTAAAGCAAAGCTAAGGGAGGAAGCAGGCATGCGCGTCCGAGACCTCCTAGTCAAGTCAAGCCGCGTCGTCCTTCCCCCATCACATTCACATAACCACATCCTCTCACGAAGAGGACACAGGACAGGTCTACTGCTGGCTACTGCATGTGTTCCTGCCGGAGCTTGCATACACTGAATCATCTAAGGTAAGTTGGTTGGTTTTGGTTTCGCTATTCTAGCTAGGATTAGGACTCCATGTGTCAGTCGTTTGTTCGTTCTTTCCACATCCATTCAACGACTCACTCCCATCTCTCTAATACATTTCCGGTTCCTTGTGTTTCAGTTCCAGATCCATTCGGTTCTCACGTTTCTTCAGATCCAGATTCCAGACTACTGCTGCGAGTTGGAGTTAGTACTTGTTGCTGGATCGAGATCCTTTTTCTCATCATTCCGACTCATCATCTGGCTCAGACATCATCGTAATCCAGCAGATCTATATATGCACCGAGAAAACACTGCACTCAAGGAAGCAGATATATCAGGATCAGGTGACCTCATCACCTCCGCCACAGCTTCAAGTGTTGAATATTCGCTACTACTACTACATCTACATAGCTTCTCTGTTTCTCATTCACTGCCCACCTTCGTTTTTTTGCAGGATCAACAGAGCGAGGGCAAAGAAGGTAAACTAGCTGTGACTGGGAGAACGACTAAGGATCTTGTGTACTTTCAGACTTCATCCGCTTAATTAAAAGAACAGTTCCTCACCAACTTGCCTCCAGTACACAGCTTATCTCCTTTTACCTTCCTTCGTTCGTTCCAAGCTTTGGCCACAGATGAATGCGTGCTTGCAAGGGTCTGGGAAGGGCGTAGTTGGCTTCTGAGATTTCGCTCCGTTTCTCACTTGACTTGGCGATTTTTTTGACAGTGAGTAGATGGATTCTTGGCTTCACTACTGCATCCAATATTACCTTTCTTTATTAATTTCTCGCTCTCTTCTTCCAGATCGATTCGATTCTTATATATGTCCTCCTTTCGATCCATACATGCTTCTAGGTAGCTGCTATATATCATGTGTTGTGCTGCTTGGAGGCACTTCGTCACACAGGCTATACCTGCCACTGCTCCGGTCCACATCTTCCTGCAATGGTCTGGTACCTCAGATCCGACCTGATCTGAACACCTTCCACCCAAACCGTTGACTTAAGGACGAAGCACCGGTAAGTAGATCTCAAGCTACAAGCCTACGTACAATTGTGCAAACCTAAGTAACCACAGATCGAATTCTCGTGCACCAATTTAATCATCTTCTATTTTTTTTACAGGACCAAACAACACGGGGTTCAATCAGCCTGTAGTGGCGGGCCATTAGTATATCCTTACATTTGTGAGCACACCAAGTTGGAATGGCTGCAGCTGCTGTGGTGTCTGTCTCCATGGTGGTCATGAAGCCCGTCCTGGCTAAACTCACCACCCTCATGGGTGACGAGTACAAGAAGATCAAGGGCCTACGGAAGAAGGTGACCTTCCTCCAGCGTGAGCTCAGCGCCATGGATGCTCTCCTTGAGGAGATGGACAGCGCCGATGAACTCAACCCGCAGGCAAAGAATTGGAGAAGAGATATAATCGAGATGTCCTACAACATAGAAGACCGTATTGATGACTTCATGCACACTGTTGGTGAAGCCGACGGCAAGATAGGGATCCTTCAGAAAGCTGCTAAGTATCTGCGAACTTTCAATGATCGTCGACGACTTGCAAATGACTTCCAAGAAATCGAGACCCAAGTGATGGAAGCAAGCGAACGCCGAAAGAGGTACATGCTTGATCAGTGCATATCGGTTACTGTGCCTGTAGTTCTTGATCCTCGTGTCTCAGCACTCTACAAGGAGTCAGCAAGCCTTGTGGGAATTGAGTCCCAAAAGTCTGATCTTGTTAGTTGGGCAATGGATGAAGTCAAACAATTGAAGTTTTTGGCAATAGTAGGATTTGGAGGTATAGGGAAGACCACTCTTGCTAATAAGGTGTATCATGAGGTTGGAGGCAAGTTTGAATGCAAGGCATTTTTATCTGTCTCTCAAAAGCCACAAATGATTATGCTATTCAACAGTTTGCTAGAGCAACTTGGGTTGCAAAAATACTCCCATGACTGCCTGTTGCAATAAGAATTAACATCTTGGAAGTAGTTTATAATCTTCTTAATTGATTGGTGAAATTCATTTATATCGTTTAGTTTTATATGTGAAGATAATTTGCTCCTTTCTCAATGAAAATAAAATAAAATGATCATATTGTATAGCTAAAACTATCAGACTTCAGTGTGGATTTTTTTTATTGATTCATAATTGGGCATTGTATTTTGCGATATTTTAATATTAAACAGGAGCCACAAAGGTTCCTAGGCAAATAATGCTGCCAACCTACGACAGTTATGAGTTACTTTCAAAATTTAACCATATTTTTTCAATTTAGTAAATAGAAAAAATATAAAGATATAGGTGTACAATACTAAATACACACTATCAACACATCTCATGCTAGATTTAATAAAACTCATTTGATTTTGTAGATGATTTGAAAATACACTAAATGACATATATCTTGAAAACTCATTTGATTTTGTTTTAAAACAAAACTAAACGACATATGTCTTGGAATGAGGGGTAGTAACGATTAGTAATCTTCAATCTCCCTTACAGAAGACAAACCTACTCCCTCTGTCCCATAAAATGTCATTTTTATTTCCCAAGAAGTCAAATAATTTCAACTTTGACCAAATATATATGAGAAAATATTTTATATTTTAGTACATAATTAATATCATTAGATACATCGTTGAATATATTGTCATAGCAAACTTATTTAGAGATATAGATATTGCTCATATTTTCTATAACCCTAGTCAAACATACGAAGGTTTGATCAGCATGAGTGCCAACAACTCTTTTTATGGGACCAATGGACACTACTACACAAATGATTTTGCAAGACACACCCAAAAAATTAACCGCGGCGGACGTCCCTTTTGCCCGCCTCGGTTAATGTCCGCGATTAACGGAGGCGGACATTTTTTATTTACCAAGCCTCGGAAAATCAATTTACCGAGACGGTCATCTTAAACGCCCACCACGGTAAATCGATTTACGTGGCGGGCATCCTATCGAGCCCACCTCGGTTAAGGCCGAGGCCCAATAGGCCTAAGAGGTCCGATTTCCGCCTCCAAGTATAAATACAAGGCCTTAGGGTTTCTTCACTCCTCCTCACCCCCTCTCTATCTCTGCCTCCCATCGGCGCCATGACTGACTCCTCTCTCATGAGCCATGACTCCTTCTTCTCTCGCAGCCTGGCCCCGAGTGGCCCGAAGCGAACCCCGAGTGGCGCCCCACCTCCTCCCCATGGAGCCCTACCTCTCTACCCACGGCGCCCCTCCACCTCCCTCCCGGTGGTGCCCCACCTCCTCCCATGATGCCCTCCACCTACTCCGTCTCCTCTCTCCCTCCGAGCTCCGGCCCGGGAGTCAGTGGCCCATGGCCGGGGGGGCCTGCAGCTGGCGCCGCCCGAGCTCCAGCCAGCGAGTCGCGCCCCAATGGCGGGGCCTCAGCAGTGGCGTCGCCCGAGCTCCAGTGGCAAGGGAGGAGGCGGCGGCTCCCCTTCTTCCTCACGGGAGATGCGGCTCGGGCCCGTGGCGCTCGTTGCCGGCGACGGCACGGTGCGGTGGACCTCCTGACGGCGGCAGCGGCGCCTCCCCAACTTCGTGGACTTTTTTTTGTTTTTTAAACGATTATCCGAGGCGGGCATCCTAACGTGCCCGCCTCGGTTAATCGATTAACCGTGGCGGGAAAAGGCGTCCACCACGGTTAATCCACCATTAACCGTGACCTTTCATTGGTGGCGGACACCTTTGCCCGCCACGGTTAATGAAAAAACGACCGTCCACGGTTAATAATTCTGTAGTAGTGGGAGTAGGTCGTAAAAATTGTACTGTTGCATTCAAATGATTGTTCACCTAGGAGTGGTGTTTTTATATGTAACTAATACAACCAGTTTTGTACTATGGTTTTATATTCATATGGGTTTCCAAATTAAAGGAGATAATTAAGTATTATTTCTTTTCTTAGCCAACGGCTAGTAGATAGAGTCAGCCTTAAATAATCTAATGTACTAAAGATGTATTCGCTTCTCTAGCTAATTAATATACCACCATACCGTGCGGATGCCGATGTATTTATTTACTACTTTGAAATGATAATTTACACATTCTAAATTAGCTGTGTACGCATGTGTGCTATCACTACTAGAGAACAGATTTTAGAACGATGTCCCAATTTGGCATTAGCCTCGGTATTTTTTTGCCCCCGGGACTAAAGGTTCCTGCCCAACGGTCGTCCGCGGGGCAGGGATCTTTAGTCCCGGCTGGTATTACCAACCGGGACTAAAGCTATTAGTCCCGGTTTGGGTGATGCCTCGGGAATAAAGATTAATCTTTAGTCCCGGTTTGGCCCCCTCACCGGGACTAATAATCCCGACCTATAGACCAGCTCATTTCTTGCTCTCCGAGCCCGAGCCATTCCATTCAAACTTACTGTCTCTGTTCTTCAGCTTGCTGTTGTTCTTACTCTCTCCCCCTCCATTGGTGTTGCTCTTCGATTTTGGAGGTAACAAACTTAATCCTCTTATATTTTATCAGTAGCTTATCTCATTTTGCGATGTAGATGCATGTGTAACTTTATATGTTGGACTTTATTATGATTTTATGTCATTTTTAGCTCAAAATCACATGATGATTTGTATATATGTTTGGATAAACAAAAGTTAAATTAGTTTATCAAAATCACCTGACAGTTTAGTATTGCTAGTATATGTAGTACATTTCATGGTTTAGTTAGATAAATAAATATTTTTATTTTTTTAATATATTACTTTAGAAATGAGAAATTTACAATAGTTTGCAAAAATAAGTATAGAAAGTAACTTGATATGGTGGATTTGATTATGATTTCTATGTCATTTTTAACTCAAAATCATATAATGATTTACAATAGTAAAATCACTTAATAGTTTGGTATTTTACTATTATACATAGTACATATTTCATGGTTTAGTTAGATAAATAAATAATTTTAGTTTTGTTTAAATATATTATTTTAGAAAATGTGAAATTTACACTAGTTTGCAAAAATAAGTATAGAAAGTAGATGACAACTGGTACCGGATCCTCGGCCTCTCGTTCGGTTGCGAAACGACTGAGGCCAGAACTCCCTCTCATTATCTACGGCAAGTGTAGGCAGAAGATTGTAATGGAGTACCGAGTCAAGAGACAGGGACCCAACAAGGGTCGTGTTTTCTACAAGTGTCCGGATCGCGATGTGAGTTTCTTACGCATTTGATTATTATGGCTAATTGACCTACTTTTCTTGAATATTTTTGACTAAATATTTTTTCGCTTTAATTTCAGTGGGAGGGCAATGGATGCGATGGTTGGTACTAGGAGGAAGATTATGCTACATACGTGCAGAATTTGGGTGCGCTTGAGGTAGCGGCTGTTGATGATGAGGTAGTGAGCCAGCAGGAGAAGCTTATTGATATTCAACAGACGAATGATTTGTCTGTTTTAGTTGCGTACGGTCACGAAATAATTATGTTACTGAAGTGCATTATAGTTTTAGTTTGTTTAGTGATAGTTGGGATTGCTTACGTTGTAGCCAGGCTTAGTTAATTAATCAACCGTGTGTGTGTCATCTATGTTGTGTAATAAAATACTTAATTATGTTCAAGGTTTTCATAATTTGTCGTGTAATGCAGATTATGTCACGCCATTGGATGTACAATGCCGATCGCCGTTCCCAAGACTTTGTTGAGGGCGTGCACTATTTCTTAGGTGTGGCCGAGGCAAATAAGCAGGATGGTTTCATGTGCTGTCCATGTGCCCTATGTAAGAATTTAAAGGAATATTCAAGCTCAATGAGTCTTCATTCACATTTGCTTAAGTCAGGTTTCATGTCAAACTATATATGTTGGACTAAGCATGGAGAAAGCGGGGTCATGATGGAAGAAGGTGAAGGAGAAGATTTAGACATTGATGACATTATTGCTCAGTATGGTGCCTTTGATGATACTACAATAGGGGGAGATGAAGAAGAGGTAGCGGCAGAAGATGATCTCGGTGATGCTCTTGGCGATGCCATTCGTGATGCACAACAAGAATGTGAAAGTGAAAAAGAGAAAGTTAAGTTCGAGCGCATGCTTGAGGATCATAGGAAGTTGCTATACCCGACGGCAGTAGAAGAGGGGCAAAAAAGTTGGGTACAACTTTGGAATTGCTGAGTGGAAGACAAAGAATGGTGTATCCGACAAGACATTTGGAAATTTATTGAACCTCATAAAGAAGATGCTTCCGAAGCCAAATGAATTGCCCACCACTACGTACGAAGCAAAAAAGGTTGTCTGCCCTTTGGGATTAAAAATCTAGAAGATACATGCATGTCCTAATGACTGCATCCTCTACCATGGCAATGAATACGAGAACTTGGATGAATGCCCGGTATGTAAAGCATCGCGGTATAAGATCAGGCGTGGTGATCCTGGTGACGTCGAGGGTGAACAACGTCCTAGAAAGAAAATCCCTGCCAAGGTTATGTGGTATGCTCCTATAATACCACGCTTAAAATGTTTGTTCAGAAATAAAGACCATGCAAAGTTGTTGCGGTGTCATAAAGAAGACCGTAAGGTAGACAATATCTTTGAGACACCCGGTGATGGGTCCCAAAGTGGAGAGCGATATATAGAGTGAAATTTCCGAGTTTGCAAATGAGGCTAGAAACTTAAGGTTTGCCTTAAGTATGAGATGGTATGAATCCTTTTGGGGGAGCGAGCACTAGTCATAGCACTTGGCTAGTTACTCTATGTATCTACAACCTTCCTTCATGGTTATGCATGAAGCGGAAGTTCATTATGATGCCGATCCTCATCCAAGGTCCGAGGCAACTTTGGCAAGCGACATTGATGTCTATCTGAAGCCATTAGTTGAAGAACTTCTAGTTTTATGGAACAAACCAGTGTATGCGATATGCAGGATGAGTACAAACAAGAACACTTTGACCTACGAGCAATGGTGTTCGTAACAATCAATGATTGGCTTGCTTTAAGTAATCTTTCGGTCGGACAA